CAGCCGTCATTGTTGTTTGGCGGGTCCGGGCTGGGGATTTGAACCCGCCACCTTAGGTGTACGTGGCTGGCGCCTTAGCCGGTTGAGCTATACGCGCCGAGCCCAGACTTAATAATTTTTAAACTAATTCTAGATTAATGAAGTTTCAGCATACCATTTGCTGGCAATGCAACAGCAAATGGTAGGTTCACCAACAAGATTCTGGAACTCTATCAGCATTATAGCAGTTGCCACTAACTCACATGTTACAGAGAAGATTCATAATGTCATGCAGGAATTTATTTTATAAATACATATGTGCCAATCTCTGTTTGCATTTTACAAATATGAACTAATCTTCATGCAGTTATGCTATAAAATGAGTACTTGTATTATGCCAATTTTACAGGAGAAACAAATACAGAGTAAGACAGTGAGTGACCCTCCCAATTCTTAAGATTATATGGTTAGTAGCACTAGGTGGGCTACCTAATACTCGAGTGAACAAGGCCTGTGTCTCTTAAAGCCAGGAATTATTACAAAATGTTTTAATTATTACAAAATGTCCCAAACTATTGAACTATTCTAGAAATTAGAGACTGAATTAAAGTAACAATTCTATCATCTCTGTGTTATACCGATCTAGACCCAAGCTAACAGGCCACATGTTTGGCTTCCCTTTGCTCTTCCGGCAGTGTTTACTTAAACTATAAAGAAGTAGCCACTATGAACTGAGAACTATCAATAAAAGATAGAGGCAAAACTGAGATAAAATGCGAGGGCAGAATTGAATGAGGAAATGCACTTGGAGATGACTACGTGGACTCGAGAAAACCAGTGAACAGAAGCTACCTTCCAGGGGATTAGCCCTATTCTTTAAAAATGTTAAAACATTCAAAACAGAACATCTTTTCTGCTCAGGAAATCAAACATCTGATTGTTAACTAATGACCTCTTGTTTCCCCATCTGTGACAATCTTGTTTTAATAGGTTACAGAGAACAGAAAAATCACAAGTGTAACATAGGCATTCCACCAAGATAAACAGGAAGGCAATCTTCGAGTTCTGGGAAGAGTGACTAAAAATCTGAGCCATTTTCTAACTATAGTAATGGGACACACACAAATAGGTGTCATTGGAAACAGCACCTGCTTGTCTCTGTGCAGGGGCGTTCTGCCAGGTTCACACATAAGCTATGAGCTTCCCCACGTACATGGAGACAGATGTACTTTCTGTTAAGGTTGTTTCCTTATGAAAATAATTAAATAGAATTTCTATATATGGGGAAAAACTTATAAATCACCTACTTTTATTAGTTTATGATTTTGAAATTACCCACCAATCCAGTTAAAAATTGATCATCTCAGGGTGGTGCCTGTGGCTCAAAGGAGTAGGCCGCAGGCCCCATATGCCGGAGGTGGCGAGTTCAAACCCAGCCCCGGCCGAAAACTGCAAAATAAAAAAAGAAAAAATTGGTCATCTCAGAAATAACATAAAAATTTACAGTGATCACTCATTATGGTGCAATTTTTTTTTTTTTTTTTTTTTGGTAGAGCCAGAGTCTTGCTTTATCACCCTCGGTGGAGTGCCATGGCATCACACAATTCACAGCAACCTCCAACTCCTGGGCTTAGGCAATTCCCTTGCCTCAGCCTCCTGTGTAGCTGGGACTACAGGCGCCCACCACAATGCCCGGCTATTTTTTTGTTAGTTTGGCTGG